TCCAAGAAGCTTGTCCACATCATCGGTACTCACAGATTGTAATTGAGCCAGTAAATTGCCATCACCTCTTAACCTTTTATTCTCCAGGCTAAACATACCCAGCTCCTCAAGCCATTCCTCATAAGGCATGGTTTCCAGACCCTTCACAATTTCAGTTGCCCTCCTCTAGACATGCCCCAGCTTGTTAACATCCTTTTTGAATTGTGGTGCCCAGAACTGGACACAGTATTCCTGTCGAGTCCTGACCAAAGCAGAATAGAGTGGCACTATTCCTTCTCTTGATCTAGACACTATATGTCTATTGATGCAGCCTAGAACCATATTGGCTATTTTAGCTGCTGCATCACACTGTTGACTCGTGCTTAATTTATTGTCTACCAAGATGCTTAGATCCCTTTCACATGGACTGTTGTCAAGCCAGGTGCCCCCCGTCCTATGTCTGTACATTTCCTTTAGGATGGGGGACACCTGGCCTGACCTAAACTTTCCAAAGCAAAATCCAAAGAACCTGGCATGTGCCTTTCAAATACATGACCTCTTGAGGGTGCCTGAAGAAGACCATTGCCTTTCTGACAGCCTTGCTCTGTTTTTGGAAATAGCCTGTGCTTAGAGCTCCTTTGAAATAATTTGTCTCTCAAGACTTGGCTCATAACCAGGGAAAATTTGACCAGCTGTTTCACAAGCGAGTAAATGGAATAGATAATGCATAACTCTCTGCTTTCCTTCTTAGCTCAAGATTAGTAACAAGTAGCCATGTGTGTGTAAGATTTACTTCAAGTTCACATGTTCTGAGCTGCTTGTAGACATTCACAATACCTATTTCTGCCCCTTCCTCAGTAACATATATAAATAATGTATTTCAATATGGCAATATTTTTGTACTCATTTTTCAGCTGCCACCTTGCATTAGGAGAGACATCTCTCAGCGAGGGATTTAAGCAAACCTCACTTTCTTCTGCCTTTGCCATTTGTCCCAGATTCTGTTGTTTGAAAAACTGCTCTGAATAGCTAGCTAGAATTAGCAACTTCTCAGAAACCATCTTGATACTGAACAAATTTATTTCGATACATCTTGCTCCTCTGCCAGCATGGCTAGAGACCATGTCTGGGTAATTCTGGGAATTGCAGTCCCCAAAATTTAAACACTTCAAACATGTAAAATCATGTCTGCCTCCATAGAAAGAAAAAAATATTTTTCTAAGGCTGTTGTTGAGTATCAATATCAACTTGGATCCCATCAGTTAGATGTTGGGGGAAAGAACCTTGTTGCCTGCCTGTGAGAATGGATGGAGACATCTGGCAAAAGCCAGCTGGTTTAGCAGCTTTTAAGAGTCTCTTTCTTTACTGGTACTGGTTGCATTCAGAAATGGAAACAAATGAGATTTAAGCTAGACAAACAATTGGCTAGGAATTCCATTTGGGTGCAAATATACAAACAAAGCAGTGTCATGTTAAAACAGCCATGGTTAGCAAGCCTGGCTGGGTTCAGATGCAGAAAAAGATCAGCATTAAGTTAGGCAAACCATAACTTAGTGCTTTCTCCAGACTAAGCTCAAGCCAAGACACCAGAGATGGTGGGATGAAGGGACCCTTAGTATGACAAGAGAGGTACTATAATAATGTCTCCATTTTCCCCCTGTGAACTACTGGTAACTTTGATGATATACTTCAGATGTCTTTCACCCAGGCATTCAGCTAGCCTGTTTTGCAGTCTTTAACAAGACTGCAGCACAAAATAAATGATTCCAAACATTTTAAAGAAGTAAAATGAGAAACAAGAGCCAGAGTGGTATAGTGGTTTGAGGGTTGGATTAGGACACTAGAAGACCAGGGTTTGAATCCTCGCTCAGCCATGGAAATCCACTGGGTGACTTTGGGCAAGTCATGTTCTCTCAGCCTCGGAGGAATGCAGGGGACCCTGAACACCCCCCTGAACAAATTCTGCCAAGGAAAACCCATTATAAGGTTGCCTTAGGGTTGCCATAAGTCAGAATTTTTTTTTGTTTGCAAAAATAAAAAAAGCT